TCCACCCCACCCCTCCTCCGGGCGGAGGAGGAGGACGAGGAGGAGGAGGAGGAGGACGAGGAGGAGCGGGGGGAGGAGGAAAAGGAAGAAAAGGAGGACGAGGATGATGAGGAGGAGGAGCAAGAGAAGGGGGGAGAGGAGGAGAAGGAGGAGGACGAGGAATAGGAGAAGGAGGGGAGGCGAGAGGAGGAGGAGGAGAGGAGGAGGAGGAGGAAGAGGGATGATGAGAAGGAGGAGGACAAGAGGAGGAGGACGAGGAGAAGGAGGAGGAGGAGGTGGAGGAGGAGGACGATTCTCCACCTTCCCCGACCTCCCCGCCAGGCGGTGCCGCCCGGCCAGCCCCAGCAGCGCTGATCGGCCTCGCTGCGCTGGCGGCGTGCCTCGCCCTGGCGGCGTGACCGTTTGTCCGCGGCCGTCTGGGCGCCGCGGCCTCGCGGGCGCCCGCCTCCCCGGTCCCGCGCGCGGGCGCCCGGCCTCGGGCAGGGGCGACGTTTCCACCAGACCTCGTCGCTCCTCCGCCTCCTCCCTCTGTGTTCTCCTCCTGCTCCTCCTTCTCCTCCTCCTCCTCCTCGTGCTCGTCCTCGATCCTCCTTCTCCTCCACCTGCTCCACGCCCTTGCGCCTCCTCCACCTCTCCTCGATCCTTTCCTCGATCCTGTCCTCGGTCCTCTCATCGGTCCTCTCCTCGATCCTCTCCTCGATCCTCTCCCCAATCCTCTCCTCGATCCTCCTCCACATCCTCCTCATCGTCATCCGCGCTTTAGTGTCGTGCGCAACGCAGCAACCCTCCTTCTCCTCTCCTTCGTCTTCTTCTTCCTCCTCCTCATCCTCCACCTCCTTCCCCACCTCCGAGAGAGAGAGAGAGAGAAAAAAAAAAAATGAGAGCTCCGACTGAGTGTCCCGAACACGTCTCTGCGGGCAACTCCTCTTCTGGCTGGAGATCGCGAACTCCAGGCAGGACCGCCCCGCCAGGGTGCTCGATCCTCCCTCCGTCCCTCGTCGAGAACTCTCGCAGGCCTCCGCCCCTCTGGTGGTGACCAGCATAGGTTCCACCCCTCGTGGCAGCTGCCAGCACAGGGGCTGCTGGTGGTGACTCGCTCCTATCAGTGCACCAATCCACCGTGCTAGCAATAGGCACCGGCCCCTCGGCCAACGAAGGCGGCCGTAGGGAGGGGTGCCAATGTACCTCCACAGCGCTCACCTCAATACCCGAAGCCGCCAATTTCCACCATCTACCAGTTCTGAGCGAACGTCCAGCGGATCCATCGCATCTGATTGCACACGCTGGAGTAAGCCTCCCTCGAGAACACCCCGTGTGCGCCTGCACGCCTGCATCCTATGGCATTCCCAAGCGCGGACGCGCACCCAGAAACGCAAGCGACAACGCGTCCCCCCTCCCCCCCATTCCCTCCTCTCCCCTCGCCACCCCCCCACCTCCCACGTCGTCGCCACCGCCGTCGCGGTCGTCATCGTCGTCATCGTCGCCGTAGCCGTCGTCGTCGCCGCCGTCGTCAAAGTCGTCGTCGTCGTCGCCGCCGCCGCCGCCGTCGCTGTCGCCGCCGCCGCGGCGGAGCCGAGGCCCCCGGCGCCCGGCGGGGGGCCCGAGCGCGGCGAGCGCGCGGAGCTGGACCTCGTGGAGCGGCTGCAGTTCCTCGGCGCGGTCTTCCGCGCGATGCCCGCGCCTCGGCGCCAAGCGCGCGCGCGTGCCCCCTTCCCGACGCGACTTCAGCAGGGGCGGGTCCACATGTCGATCCTCGATCCTCATCCTCCCTGCTCCTCCCTTCTCCTTGTGTTCACTATCCTCCTTCTCCGCCTCCTCCTCCTCCTCCTCCTCCTCCTCCTCCTCCTCCTCCTCCTCCTCCTGTTACTGGTCTTCATCAGCATCCTTTCCCTCATGCCCCCCATGCTGCAGACTCCCTCCCTTCTCCTTGCTGCGCGCTCTTCTTCCTCCCTCCTCGTCCACCCGTCTGCTGCCTTTCCTCCTCCCGCACTCCCTCCCGCGCCTGCCTGCCTCCCCCCTTCGTCCACAGCTGCACAGTGGGAGTATCGTCCTCCGCCCTCCCCCGCGGACGTCCTCGGAGAGAGAGGCGCGCCCCCCTCCGCACATTGGGCTTCCGCCAAGGATTGGCACTAGCTTTGAGTCGGTCCTGTCCCTCTACAGGAGGAAGATTCAAACATAGTTTGAAAACGTAGTATGGGGATTTGTTTAAGATGTTTTGACCATTTGGGGGCATGTTTTGAGTATTGTTTATGTTTCGTCGCAAATTCCCCATGTAGGGGCACAGGCCTGACTGAATACTAGCTCGTTTCTCTCATGAGTTTTTCCAATCCGAACGTGCTCGGTCCTTCCAAAATGGTGCCCCGCTGCAGCGTTGGCCTTACTCTCGGGTCGATGCTTTGACCCCGCGCATGGTCGTGCAGAGAGGCGCTCTCGCCCCAGCGAGGGTACCTTCCTGGATCTGAGTGTTTCCTGCCGTCGATGTCGCCCCCCCCTTTTTCCCTTCGCTGCCTTCCCCCGAGGTCCTCCTGCTCCCTCCGATACTCCTGCTCCTGACGCTGCAGTTCCTCCCCATCGTGGACCACGCAGGCACACGAAACGAAACAAAACAGACGCGGCGCCGCCCCTGGAGCAGACGGCCAGCTTCAAGACAAGGGGCCAGGACAGGAGTAGTTGGTCGCAGCAGCTCGCGGCAAGGCGGGTCGAGGAGCGTCCAAGGCGCAGGCGGTGCAACAGCTCGCGGCGCTGCCCAGCACGCCCGCGCTCCGCGTGGCGGGCGACCTTCGGGCAGTCAGCCGCGTACTCTTCACGGCCGTGCTGGCGCCGGCGGCGCCCCCTTTTCATCGAGGCGGCGAGCGCGGCAGGCAAGGAGTATCTCAAGGAGGCGATGGACCTCAGAGAGAGCTCCCGGAGGCGGACGACAGTGTAGACGCACCGTCGCCGGGCAGCCCGCGCGTGCGCGCGTGAGAGCGTCACGCGCTCACGACGCGCGACTATCGAGGAAGGCCACAGCAGGAACGCGCCCGCGACGCACTGGAAGGAGAGGGTGATGAAACGAGAGCTGAGGGAGATGGCAGACGTCGCCAGGTACTTTCGCGTGCGAGCGTCCCGCGGCAAGGGATAGAAGAACAAAAAAGAAGAAGTCCAAGCGCATGGAGGGCAAGGTTCGCTTGCCGCGGGCCATGAACACGAGCAGCCAGCAGGGGTCTGACCTCGATCGCGTCCTCCGTCTCGAGCTATTGCGTCACGGGGCGGAGACCACGGTGAGTGCAGCGCCGGGGGGGGTCTTGGAAAGGGACGCGAGGGCGCTCTTGAACTAGTTAAAGGGCGGCTCGGCGTTGGAGAGCAGCGTAGCTGAAAGGCCATTATCCAGCCTGGCACGGTTTCGAGAGAAGCCGTGCTGGTTGAAGTCGCCGCCTCCGACATGAAACATTTTGACGCGGATAGCCTGAGCAGAATAGTTTTAAGTCGGGCCTATCCCTCTACAGGGGGGAATATTCAAAAATAGTTCAAAAGTAGTCTGGGGAATATTTTTTTTTTTTTTACCATTTGGGGGTATGTTTGGTGTATTTGTGGTGTCTTTTGAATTCTTCGTCCAGAATCCCCCTGTAGGGGGACAGGCCCGACCTAAGAACAGTTCCTCCCACAGTGGAAGGCAAGCCCCGACCCGAACCCCAGCGGCGAGGGGGAAGCAGGGCCTCGGCGGGCGCACCGGGAGGAGGGGAGGGGCCTCTGCGTCCACGCCCTCCCGTGGCTGCCTGCGGTGCCCCGTCCGCGGGCCCCAGCGTTGACTCTGGCGTGTCCCTCTGCAGGAGGAGCACTCAAGGATAAACTCGTCTGGTGACGATTTCTCTAGTATTTCTGATTATTTTTGGGCATGCTTTGATTATGTCTTACTTTTTGTCTAAAGTCCGCCTGCCCGGGGACATGCCCGACCTAACCCCAGCGGTTTTCCCCACAGGAGTCTTCGGTTTCACGCATTGGAGGCCACCCCCACACCCTTGGTCCCCCCGGCTGTCTGCAGGGGGACCCGAGCGGAGTTGCCACCGGTGTCAGCGAGCCAGACCCTTTGCAGCCCGCAAACAGCGGCGTGCCGCCCACCGACGCGAACTAGCACACCGCACCCTTTGTCTCTCTCGCCGAGGATCTGACTTACTTACTGCCTTAGTCCTCCTCCTCCCCCTCCTTCCCCTCGTGCTGACCATGCCCCGCCTGCCGCGCCCCTGCCGAGGCAGCCCGCCCCCCCCCCCCCCCCCCGTTGCTTTCGCGTGCTCCCTGCGCCGTCCCAGTTCTTGCGGGCAGCGCCTCCTCCTCCTCCTCCTCCTCTTCCTCCTCCTTCCTCCTCCTCCTCCTCCTGCTCCACCTCCAGTCCATTCTCTTATAACTCCTCCTCCTCCTCCTCCTCCTCCTCCTCTTCCTCCTCCCTCCTCCTCCTCCCTCCTCCTCCTCCTCCTGCCCTCCTTCTCCTCCCTTCCTCCTCCTCCTCCCTCCTCCTCCTCCTCCTCCTCCTCCTCCTCCTCCTCCTCCTCCTTCGCCTCCGCCTCCTCCTCCTCCTTCTCCGCCTCCTCCTCCTCCTCCCTCCTCCCCCCTCCCATTGGTCCCGTTTCCAGCTTCTCCCTCTTGCGCCCCGCTGCTCCCATCGTGCCTTTGCTGCGCCTGCTCCCTCTCCTCGGCCTCCTCCGTCCCGCCCCCCGGGATCCTTATCCTCTCGGCTACACGTACCCGTCGTTTGCTGCAAATGGGTAGTTTTGGACTCCTGGATCCCAATCTGGTTTAGGTGCTTTCCTTCTTGAATCCACGAGCGTCTTTTTCCTATCTTTCAGGGGCAGGCGGCAACCCAATCGCCTTCCAAGTGTATGTTTCTACCTAGTTCCGACCGATGGGTTGAAGTGACCGTTCGCTGGATTGACCTTTGGTGCGGGCCCAATGGGGTCCCCCGGTCGCAGAAATTCGCTGAGTGCGATGCGATAGCAGCGGCTTGCGCGCCTGGATTTGCCCCCCTTGCGCACCAAAGGACACTCTTGCCCAGGGTCACTCCGGCATGTAGCCGATCATCCTCCTTCCCACCACCTGTATGGCCGCGCACACACGAGCAAGCGGACATTGTTTCAAGTCGGGCCTGTCCCTCTACAGGGGGAATCTTAAAACATCGCAATAACAAATAGTCTGGGGGAATTGTTGAAGCATGTTTGCTAGCATGCTTGAAGATTTCTAGGGTATGGTTAACGGTTTTTGGCCAGCGGCGAGAACCAGCGCACATCGCGCTTCGGTAGCCAGCGGGCCGCGCAGGGACTGCTGGCAACGAGCAAGGTAGGGCAAGAAGTGGGCGGCCAGGGAAGAGGAACGCGGGAGGAGGCCTCAGGCGTTGAGATTCTACAGACGAGCGGACACGCGCAGCGAGCTGGCAACCGCAGAGCAACTGCGGTGGCTCCGCGAGCGGCATGCTGGACAGGCAGGCGGCAAGGGGGAGGAGGAGGAGGAGGAGGAGGAGGAGGAGGAGGAGGAGGAGGAGGAGGAGGAGGAGGAGGAGGAGGAGGAGGAGCAGGAGCAGGAGGAGGAGGAGGAGGAGGAGGAGGAGGAGGAGGAGGAGGGGGGAGGAGGAGGAGGAGGAGGAGGGGGAGGAGGAGAGAGGAGGAGGAGGAGGAGGGAGGAGGAGAGGAGAGGAGGAGGAGGAGAGGAGGAGAGGGAGGAGCGCGGAAGGAGGAGGGGCCGGGGAGGAGAGTGGTCCGCGTATCGCGCCGCCGGCTCTGGCCCACGCTCATGTCGGCGCGACGCGCCAGATGGCCACGTATTGGGTCCTCGGGCGTCCACGGCCCGAGCCGTTCCCAGGCGATGCCCGCGCCCTGGGAGCGGAGAGCGGCACGCCCTCCGCTCGCGGGGCGCGGAGCGGTGTCGGCGGGGCCGCCGCCGCGGCACGCAGAATTCGGAGCGCCCCCGGCAGCGCGGCAGAGCGCTCCTCCTCCTCCTCCTCCTCCTCTCCTCCTCCTCCTCCTCCTCCTCCTCCTCCTCCCTCCCTCCTCCTCCTCCTCCTCCTCCTCCTCCTCCTCCTCCTCCTCCTCCTCCTCCTCCTCCCGCACGAGAGCAGGGCTCATTTCGATGCCTCCGATTCGAGTCGATTCGATTTCGATGGCTTCCGATGCCGATTCGATTCGACCTGGGATTCCGATTCGGATGCCGACTTCTTCTGGGACGCATAGTAGCCTGCCGATTTCCGCCGATCCGACTTTTCCCGACTCGGCTGCCGATTTCCGCCGATCCGATTCATTTCGATCGCCGATCCGACTTAGCGATTCGATATGGGCTCTCCTGAGAGGTGGAGGGAGCCACGACCCACTGAGGCGGTACCCGCACCTCGAGTTCTTGGTGGATCAGCTGCCGCACCTCGTCGGCCCCCTGCGCGAGCACGCCCGCGAGGGCTTGGTTGGAGAACGAGGGGAGGAGCAGCAGCAGCAAGACGGGGAAGGGCAGCAGGGAGGGAGGGAGGGAGGGGGCGGGGGAAGGACGACGGGGATGGTGGCTTGAGAAGCGCAATATGGCGTGGGACGGCGACGAGGGAGGGGGGACTAAATTGAAGATGCTGAGGAGGAGGATGGAGGGTGGTGATGAGAAAGGGGAGGAGATGAAAGAGGCTGAGCACAAGGAGGCGGATGAGAAGGAGGAGGAAAAGGGCGGCGACGACGAGCAGAAGGACAACGAGAAGGGGGAGGATTAGCAGGCGCAGCAGGAAGGAGGCAGAGGAGGAGAGCAAGCAGGACGAGGACGAGGAGACTAGGACAATGAGGGGGGACGATGAAAAGCAGGGCGAGGATAAGCAGGACGAGCAGGAGCGAGGGGGAGGGGGGGGGCGAACGGTCGACGAAGCGGCACGAGTCAGCCCTCGGCTTGGGCGTCCTCGGGAGCGGGGCGAGGGTGATCCGCTGTGGCCCCATCTGTGGAGGTTCGGGGTGCCCTTCGTGCTGCCCTTGGCCCCTGCCCCTGATGAGAACCGCCAGGGGAAGGAGCTTGAGTGGGAGGGCATCCATACAGGCGGGGCCCTGAAGAAGGAATCCTTTTCGTTGGGGAGGGGCTCCGTGTTCCTTCATCGTTTCACAGTTTGCCCCAGGTTTTCCTTGGATTTTCGATGGGAAGTCGAAGTTGAACTTTGGAAAAGAGGGGCCTCGTTCCTTATTTAGGGTTCCTTAGGTCAACGCCCCGACGGTAGGGAAACAAAATGTGGCATAAACATAGAGACTCGGAGGTCCGCGCGGATTTCACGGATCGGCGCTGGGGCCCCCCGGCGGCGCCTCCGGCGCCGCCCGTGGCGCGCTCCGCGCGCCGGGGAGGGGGGTCCAGCGCCGATCCGAGAAATCCGCGCGGACCTCCGAGTCTTTATGTTTATGTCCCTGGTTGTTCCCCAGATCCAGAGGAAGATGCTGGGGCAGCAGAGGAGTGGGAAGGCTTCGGCCTGCGGACAGACGGCCACCCCAGGTAGCCCCAGCTGGCCTCGACATGCCCGTCCGAGCACTTGCTATCCCTGGGGTGCGGGGCGCCCCAGCGGCGCCACCAGAGGCGGCGCCAGGGCATGGAGACCGCCCCGGGGGCCGCTCGTGAGTCCTCGTCCTCGCCTCGTCCTCGCCCTCGTCCTCAACTTCGTCGCCTTGTCGTCCTCGTCCTCGTCCTCGTCCTCGTCCTCGTCCTCGTCGCCGCCGCCACCGCTGCCCGCCGCCCGCTGCCGAGCAGCCGCCGCCCCTGGCCGCAGCCGCCGCTCCGCCGCCCGCTCGCCGTCCCCCCCCGCCGCCCTTCCGCGGCCGCGCGCCCCCTAGGCTCGGGCCAGACGAAAGGGGGGGATTGGGAAAGGGGGGGTTACGAAAGTTGCTGCATGCAGCTGGTTTCGGCCTCACCGAGGGGCCCATTCCTCGATACACAGCCGCTTCCGGCGCCGGGAGGCGCCGGGAAAATCAGCTACGTGAGCTGATTCTCAAACCCCCCCTTTGCTATCCCCCCCTTTCGCCCGACCCGATACTTTTGGGGGTTGGCTGCGTGGCCCGAAACCTTACCACGGAGAAGAAGGGGGAGAGTCCGCCAAGGGGGGAGAGGAGGAGGGGAGCGGGAGGAGCGAGGAGGGCGAGGAGGGGCCGGAAGAGGTACGTCACCCACTCGCTCGAGAAGGTCCGGCTGCTCGCGGTGGACCTTTTGCAGAGCATCTGCAGCACGGCTTTCACGCGATACGCCCGGGAGCCAGATTTCTTTTGTGTTTGGACGCGAGCTGGCGTGAACGGGCGGACTCGAGGCTGCAGCTGCAGGGGTGATGACGAGGCGGCACAAAGACAGAGAGGAGGTAGATAGGAGGAGGAGGAGGAGGAGGAGGAGGAGGAGGAGGAGGAGGAGGAGGAGGAGGAGGAGGAGGAGGAGGAGGAGGAGAAGGAGGAGGAGGAGGAGGAGGAGGAGGAGGAGGAGGGAAAAGAGAGGGGGATGAGGAGTATGGGGCACAGCCAAAGCCGATACTATGAGTTGATAGGCATGATGAGGGGACGATTCGGAGCAGGAGCATCAGCAGCTGCAGCAGTAGCAGCATGGTAATGCCAAGAAGTGAGCAGGACGATCATAAAGTGCATGACGAAGAGGAGGAGGAGGAGGAGGAGGAGGAGGATCAGGAGTTGGAGGAGTACGGCAACGATGACGACTAAGAGCAGGGGCAGAACGTTCACAAAGAGCAGAAAAACCAGGAGGAGTAGAGGAATCAGCAGAATTGTGTGCATTGGACGGGGAGGAGGAGGGAAGGAGGAGGATGAGGAGGAAGCGGAGGAGGAGGAGAAGGAGGAGGAGGAGGAGGAGGAGGAGGAGAATGAGCGGAAGAAGGGCGAGCTTCAAAGACGCGTAGACTGAATAGAGCGTGCCGAATCAGGGGAGGAGCGTGGGGAGCTTGGGCCGAGGCAGTGGGGGAGGGCGGACCGCCAGGGAGGAACCGATAAACGGGTGGAGGGAGTCGAGACCCGTCCAGATGGCCAGGGGGAGGAACAATGAGGGGAGGGAGGTGGGAGGGGGGGGGCAGGGAGGACTGCGACGGAGACCAGCGGGAGAAATGAGGGAGAGGCCCGCTCCCCTCCCCCTCCCGCCCCCCCCCTTCCCCCGTGGGGGGAGGGGAGGGGAGGGAGGGCAGCAGGGAGTGAGGGGTGGGGGCGAGGGGGCGATTTGGAAGAGGGGTAGGGGACCTTGCCTTCTCCTCCCTCGCCTCCTCTCCCCATCCCACCCCTACCCCCCCCCTCTTCCCTTTTCCGCCCCGTTCGTCTCCACCTGTCCTCTCCCTCCGCATAGGGGTGGAGGTGCTCGGGCCAAGTCTTGCAGCCTGCATCGGGAGGGTTGCCAGTGTGCTTGCTCGCTTCCATGCTAACTCATCGATTGGCCTGGGGCCCAGCCCGCCGCCATGACTGGGTGTCCGGGTGTGCATCTGGGACCCCTCCGGGGCGTCTGCGGCGTTTCTTGTGGCCTCTCGGGGGGGGGCTACCCTACCCTCCCCTCGTCCCCAGACCTCCTGCATCGATGTCTTCGGGCTGCATCCCCCTGCCCCCCCCAGCAAGCATTGTACCATATTTCCTGTGCGAGGAGCTGTGGGCCCTCGGCTCCCTCCCCCTCGTCTCCTCCCTCCCTGCCTCCCTCCCTCCCCTTGCTCGATCACCGCCCCCGTCTCCCCCCCACCACCCGCCCCCTCCACCTCTTCGAGGCTCGCCTCTGCAGTGTGCGTGGTGGTGGCCCGTCGCAGGTTTCGCATTGCGGCCGACTGTGAAGGCATGGCATCATCGCAAGACGTAGGCCACGGACCGAGCCCGAAACGCAGGACCGGGCCTCGATCCCCTCCCCACTCCTCGCGCCCTTCCCCTTCCCCGATCCACCCTCACAGCATCCATCGTCATCCCCCCTCCACCGCCTCGATCACCTGCCCACGCCCCTGCATCCCCCAGCAGGGGGAGGCAGCTGGTGGGGGGGGGATGAGGAGGATGAGCAGAAGGGGCCATCTTTTGGGGACGAGGAGGAGGAGGAGCCTGAGGACAAGACGAGCAGGAACGCCAGGAGGTGTTCGATGGTGTCCGAATGTGCTCGGGAGTGTGCTCTGCGCTCTGGAAGGTTCTGAGGTACTTGGGGAGGGGGCTGGTTCAGCCTGCCCCTCTCGACGGGGTCTTGTCAGAGCACGGTCCTGTCTGGGCACGATCCCCGCCCAGCGCTGGGCCGCTGGCGGCGCCGGCGGTGGCGACGCCAACGGCGCCGAACGGTGGAGAAGGCGCCACGGGAAGCAGCAGCAGGATGAGCAGGAGGAGGAGGCGGAGGGGAGGAGGAGGAGGTATTCTGGTGAAGAGGAGGAGCGGGCAGAAAGGTGTTGCATTCGTCGACTGGGAGGAGGAATCTTCTGAGACGGAGGATTGGATACTGGAGCGGGCCTTTCAGCAAAACGAGTACAACCTAACCTAGCAACGAAAGATTTCGTGGCACCCGAACCCCAGGAGGGAGGGGGTGGAATCCACGCTCTTCCCACCAGCTGGTGCTAGCCCACGCATGGCACAAGTCCAATGCAACAGCCTGCTCCGCTCTCGCCCATATCCGTCATCATGCCAATCGTGGGCCCCATGATGGTGGAACCACCTTGGGGAGGAACAGCATGAGAACATGTATGTTATGTTCGGTCTGCATTCCGCTTACGGCGCGCTTTGCGCAATAACAGCAGTGGAGGAACAAGAGGCGTAGTATTACCAGGAGTACCGTTTTCACAAGAGTGACCTGACTCCAGACTCGGGCGTTCGGGGATAAATCGTTGCATATGCGATCGCAACACATCTTGCGAGCCTCACACATGGATTACTTGCGTCGCTCACCGAGTCCCCGTGAGCTGGGACCTGCCGACGAAGCCACATGTGCCGCATAACCAAATATTACGAGCAACTTCATGGCGGGTGAGGAGTTGGCCCAAGAACCAGCTATGTGAAATTGCCGTCCCCGGAGGAGCCTCAAAAGGTTACCTTCAATCTCTTCCAAATGCAAGCAGCCACTTCTCAAGCATGGACCCGAAGCAGTCTTGGTAGCGAACGAGCTGCACTGCAATCACGACCGCACATCCTCAGTCAGGGTGTGTGCTGTTGCGACGCGTGAAACGATGCGGGGTGCAGGAGCGGGCGAGGGGGGAGGAGGCGCCGGATCACCGGACCCTACCTGCTGCCTCGCGCGCTCCTTTCTCAATTCGGACTTTGCACAAAGCACTGCATCTCTCAGAAGATTCCGCATGGTCAGTAGGGGGTTTTGCTCATCCCTCGCTACATAGTGGCGCTCCAGCACATTGAAACGTCAGCGCTTGACCTCTCTCCTTGTGATGGCAACTATGCTGCCTTGGACGAGCCTGCAGGAAAATCCGCCGAGATGACGCCTCGCGCTGGCCAAGGTGAGATGAGACCCGAAGCACGAGCACGTCCGCTGGCGCCCGAGACACGAAGGAGGGCATCGACAGATCGCCAGAGCTCGGCCAGCTGGCCCGCCGGCCGCGAGCAAAGCTCCCCACGGCCTGCTGCATGAAGCAAAGCGCGGGCCGAACGAAAGGGGACCCAGATCCCGATCTCGGTGATGATGGTAATATTCTGGCTTCCAAGGCGACCGAAAGATCACCACCAACACCGAAATCTAGGACCGTCTTCCCCCTGTGGGAGCAAACCCCCTGCGTTGGTGTTGGTGCCCATTTCCAGGCCTCCAATGGGGGGGGGCAGTGCTTCCAGGCTCTCCCGAGGCGAGCGTCACGGCGCCTGGGCCGGGCGAAAGGGGGGGATTGGGAAATGGGGGGTTACGAAATCTGCTGCATGCAGCTGGTTTCAGCCCCGCCGCCGGGCCCATTCCTCGATACATGGGCGCCTCCCGGCGCCGGGAAATTCAGCTACGTGAGCTGATTCTCAAACCCCCTCTTTGCTATCCCCCCCTTTCGCCCGGCCCGAAAAGCGCCACGGGAACACGAGCCCAGCTCGACGGAGCCTGGGGCCACGGGTGTCGGCTCAACGCGAACCACCCTCGCACAGTTTCAAAGGGGGCGGATCTGGAGCCCACGCACCTTTCGTCGAGCGCACCGCCCACGAATTTCCCGCTGACCCGCGTCTCCGCCACCGGTGGGGGCGAGACTCTCCTCCAGCTCGCTGGATGGATGATGCTCGCCCAGAAGCAGGGACACCCTGCTCCGTCACAGCTCTGGGCACGAAACGATGAGCGTCCGCAAACGCCTCGCCATCCCCGTGGCGAGGTGCACAGCCCCGCCCGATGACCAGGTGCCTCGGGCTGGCCTCGGCACCTGTCGCGGCGTCGCGGCGTCCGAGTCGCAGAGGCCCGCATCGACTTTCTGAGTGGCTAGAGGCCCCTCGAATTCGTCAAACAACGGTTCGGCTTACAGAGTCCTCCCCGCCTCCGCCCTACTCTCCGTCTGGCCGCCTCCCTCCCCGGCTTCACGCCTCTCGCATCTCCGCCTGCACGTTTCAAGTGGCCAGCTCAGGGACTTCACGCTTGCTTTTTCGTGCTGCATCGTCGCGGGGGGGGGGGGGGGGACAAAAATAACGGCTCAATTGGATCAAGGGGGGGGGGGGGGGGGGGACAAAAATAACGGCTCAATTGGATCAAGCGCAGCGCGATCAACCCAAGGGGAACTCCAGGTATGACGGTCGGCAGCACCAGCGTGCGCCGCGTGCCCCTATTCGGTGAGGCCCGAGATCGGACCCCAGCCCGCTTGGAAGAAGTATTCGAAATTATTGTGGCGATGGGGCCTCGTACTGGACCAGACCACCGAGATCCCAGGAGACCCTTCCGCAAACCAACAGTACCACTCCGTTCCATGCTCGCCGATCTCCTGGGCGCAGCCGCAGCGCTGGCATCCAGACCCGGAGCCACAGAGCCGCGGACTGCCCAGGCAAGACCGGCGCAGAGGAAAGGAGCGTAGCGGCACGGCGCCCCCGACGAGTCAGAAGAGTTGCCATCCCGAACAACAGTCGCTTCAAACCCTGGCCCGCGCAGAAGAGGATAGAAGCTTAGCGCGAAGTCGGGCCTGTCCCTCTACAGGAGGAATATTCAAAACTAGTCAAAAAGTACAATGGGGACGTTTTTTCCCCAACCATCCTGTGGTGTTGGGTCCTCGTTTTGAAGAGACGGTCTCCGCGTCCCTCCTCTCCTCCTCCCCCCCCTCCGCTTCTCATCATCATTATCATCATCATCATCATCATCATCATCATCATCATCATCATCGTCGTCGTCGTCGTCGTCATCATCATCATCATCATCATTATCATCCTCATCCTCATCATCATCATCATCCTCATCATCATCGGTATCGGAATCATCATCATCATCAACATTATCTTCATCATCATCATCATCATCATCATCATCATCATCTTCATCATCATCATCATCATGATCATCATCATCATCATCATCATCATCATCATCATCATCATCATCGTCATCGTCATCGTCATCGTCATCGTCATCGTCATCATCATCACCATCGTCGTCGTCATCACCGTCGTCGTCACCACACCAATTTTGGCACAACTCTCACACGCTTCGTGGCCCCATAGGAAGCTCCACCGAAGGTCCCAGTGGCGCAGCCCGCATGCGTCACACACACACACACACCAGTTTCGGCACACCCCTCACACGCTTCTTGGCGCCATAGGGAGCTCCACCGAAGGCCCCAGCGGCGCAGCCCGCATGCGTCACGCACACACATTTCGGGACACCCCTCACACGTTTCGTAGCCCCCTAGGGAGCTCCACCGAAGGTCCCAGTGGCGCAGCCCGCATGCGTCACGCACACCAACTTTCGGGACACCCCTCACACGTTTCGTGGCCCCATAGGGAGCTCCACCGAAGGCCCCAGCGGCGCAGCCCGCATGCGTCACGCACACCCATTTCGGCACACCCCTCACACGTTTCGTGGCCCCATAGGGAGCTCCACCGAAGGCCCTAGTGGCGCAGCCCGCATGCGTCACGCACACCCATTTCGGCACACCCCTCACTCGCTTCTTGGCCTTATGGGGAGCTCCGCCGAAGGTACCGCTGGCGCAGCCCGCATGCGTCACGCACACACACACACACACAATTGGGCACACCCCTCACATGTTCCGTGGCCCCAGAAGGAGCTCCACTGGAGGTCCCAGTGGCGCAGCCCGCATGCGTCACTCACACCCATGTTGGCACACCCCTCGCATGTTTCGTGGCCCAGTGGCGCAGTCCGCATGCGTCCGCCCTACCCACGTCGGCACACCCCTCACACGTTTCTTGACGCCATAGGGAGCTCCACCGAAGGTCCCAGTGGCGCAGCCCGCATGCGTCACGCACACCAACTTTCGGGACACCCCTCACACGTTTTGTGGCCCCATAGGGAGCTCCACCGAAGGCCCCAGCGGCGCAGCCCGCATGCGTCACGCACACACCTTTTGGCACACCCCTCACACGTTTCGTGGCCCCATAGGGAGCTCCACCGAAGGTCCCACTGGGAACGACCGCAGGCGTCCGCCACACTCACTTCGGCACACCCCTCACACGTTTTGTGACGCGTCGTTGCCTTATGGCGAGCTCCACCGAATGCCACAGTGCCGCTGACCGCATGCGTCACGCACACCCATTTCGGCACACCCCTCACGCGTTTCGTGGCCCCACAGAGAGCTCCACTGGAGGTTCCAGCCACCGCCCGCATGCGTCCGCCTCACCCACGTCGACGCACCGCTCACACGTTTCGCGGCCCCACGGGGAGCTCCACCGAAGACGGTATTTACAACTGCTCTCACAACTGCACCTGGCGGGGTCCTTTGCCAGGCTAAGTTAGCATATTTGTGAGCATGTTTGGGCATTGCTTGATTCTCTTGCTTGCAGTGGGAGCTCGCATCAAGAAGCCATATGCTTTTCGTCAGGGTATCCTGGGTTTCTTCGCTCCTCGCGCTGCGCGGTGACTTCCCGCAGCCGTTGAAGGAGCTGCTGCGTTCAGGGTGTTTTGGCTTTTCCCTCAGGTGCACCTCGCGCACGGGTTCGCAGGCTTGGGTTTCTTGCGAGGGTTTCTTGCGGCCGCGCCCGCACTGCATTTGTCTTGGAAAATCCGCCTGCAGGGGGACGCGCGCGCTCTTGTTTTAACATGTTTGACTATTTGGGAATATTTTTTGGCGTGATCTTATTTTCTCATTCCAAAATCCCCCTGGAGGGGGGACGGGGCCCGACTCGGACCTTTGCCCGACGGGCCCTGGCCTGACCGCCCGTGGCCTGGCGGCCG